TAATTTATCAATTAAAATTAAATAAGTAATTATTTAATTAAAATTTAATTTAATAAAATAATATATCAAATAATAAAATAAATTAGCAATTCAAATTAAATAGGTAATTTTTTAATTGATATTCAAATCAAGATGTTTCAAATCATTATTAAAACAAGTTACCTATTAAAATAAAGCAGGTAATTATTTAACAAAATAATTGTATAATTGAAATTCAATTAAGATGTTAATTTTAAATTATTAAATAAATTACCAATTAGAATTAAATAAGTAATTATTCAATTAAAATTCAATCAAGATGTTTCAAATCATTTATAGATAAAATAATTAAATAATTTACCAAAAAATAAAATAAGTTATCAATTAAAATAAATCCTACAAGTTACCAATTAAAATAAACAATTTACAAGTTTTGTATTAAAATAAAATAAGTAATTATTTAATAAAATAATTAACCAAATAATAAAATAAATTATCAATTAAAATTAAATAGATAATTGTTTAATTGAAATTCAATCAAGATGTTAATTTCAAATCATTAAATAAATTACTAATTAAAATTAAATAGATAATTGTTTAATTGAAATTCAATCAAGATGTTTCAAATCATTTATAGATAAAATAATATAATAATTTACCAAATAATAAAATTGGTTACCAATTAAAATAAATCCTATAAGTTACCAAATAAAATAAACAAGTTACCTATTAAAATAAAATAGGTAATTATTTAATAAAATAATTTACCAAATAATAAAATAACATACTATTTATAATTAAATAGGAAAATTTTTAATTGAAATTTAATAAAGATGTTTCAAATCATTTATAGATAAAATAATAAAATAATTTACTAAATAATAAAATAAGTTACAAATTAAAATAAATTCTAGAAGTTATCAATTAAAATAAATCATATTATACTAAGAATTCTTAAAGGTTAAAAGAACTTTACTTTTTCTATTTTATTCTATTTCTAACTCTTTCCTAAATATAAATATATATCTAAATCTTTCCAAATAATAAAATAAATACAAATTAAAATAATTAAATAAATTACCAATTAAAATTAAATAGGTAATTGTTAAATTGAAATTCAATCAATGTAATAGGTTATATGTGATTAATACAGTTTGTATGTTTATATATGATACTAAAGAATGGTTGAAAATTGCTAGTATTCGTGTTTAGATGAAAAAAGGGTTCAATGCATGGCTTAGGCATCTTATTTTCGAGTTTTCATCTCTAAGTGACTTCACATTACACTTGAGCACACCGGAATTGAAAGAAATATGTATGCATATCCTTCTTTGTGGTATCGTAGAATTAGCTCCCTAAACTGATGAGTTTAATGAAAGAAATTTTCATTGGCATTAAATATAAAGATCGTAAAATGTAAAATGTGTGGCTTATTTGAGTTCGTAACCTAGTGATCTTGAGTAATTACGCCCGTTGGAGTGTTTTTACACTTAACGCCCTAAAACCAATTGGTTTGAGAGTCGTTGGTTCAACGCTCGTTACTTGGGGTAGTTAGAAAGCTTAAGGGACTTGAACATTGTACGGCCATCTAAATATATATAAATATATTCAAATAAAATTTATGCCTTGGAAAACCATTTCAAAAGACAAGTCAAGGATGTGAAAGCTATGATATGTGCCATTGAGGGATTATAATGCATTTAAAATAATAATAATAATAATAATAATAATAATAATAATAGTAAAATAAAATATTCTGGTTCACTTGGAAAGAAGCTTGAGATGAATTCTATTAAAAATGAGATGTTGAAGATTATGTACGTGGACTATTTTATTAATGCATGAATGCTAAAAACTGGAAAGTGTTTCTGGAAAGTGTTTCGAGATATCATTGTTTACATACTTGTTGTAGTCTTCATAATAAAAATCCTCCACAATGTCATGTGTTCCAATTTAAAGAATGAGCTTTTTGATTCATGTTTGTGGGTATCATTTCTTGTAAACTCTCACGAGACTTCACTCGTCCTCTAGGGATACCTAGGGGTTTAAAAGGCTTGTTGCATGTACTAAATGTAATCGTCACTCCCACGAAAGAGAGGATGTCTTGATTCTGTTTTTGCTAAGGGACTAATAAAATGTAAGTTTGGAGGTGTGATAAGTGCCGAATTTTGCATATTTAAGTGTCTTTAGTTGCATGATTTAGTTTATTTAGTGTGTTAATAAAGTATGAGTTACATGCTTTGTTGTGTATTGTCTATTTTCAGGGCTTATCTCCAAAATGGCATAAAAATAGATTTTTATGGGGTTTTAATGAACAAGATGCTTGGCGAGCAATGAAAACCTGTAAAATGGACTTAAGTCAGGCCAAGAGCATGATCAGCCTGAGAAAAAAGTCAGGCTCGGGAAGCTAAACAAGAAAGTAGAAGTCAACCTTGAAGAACAAGGCTTGGCGTCCGGACACCTTTTGTAAATCAGGGCTAACAATTGCAATTGCAAGTTAAAATAAAATTCCAAGTGCCAGAGGCCATGCACACCAGCACCCAACGCACGCCTTGACAACCAGCTTGACACTCAGCGTCCAGATGCCCGTCTTGCCTAAAATTGATGGATAAGTTAAACACCAGAAAATAAAAAAATATTTTCGTCCAAACAAACCGAGCATAAATGAACAAAAAATTATTTTTAGAGAGTTTTCAAGAAAACCAAATCACTATACTCAAACTGCCTGACAAAAGAAGTTGAAAAATGGAATGATTTCTTTTGGGGAAAGTGGTCCGGAATAGGGATGGCAAAAATCCCCAACCCGAAGGGGAACCGCCCCGCCCCGCCCCATTTAAAGCAGGTTTGGAGAACCGTTTACTTAAATGGGATGGGGATGGGGGTTAAAAAAAAAAAAAAAAAAAAAACGGTCGGTTGTGGGGCGGTGGCGGGGGACTAAGATCCCCGCCCCAAACCCGCCCCCGCAACCGCCCTGTTTAATATGTTAAATTACTAATTTACCCACCCATGTTAATATATTTACCAAATTAACCTTTACATATATATATATATATATATATATATATATATATATATAATGGAACCCTAGACTTCACTTCCATTTTGCTATTGAGGCGGCCGTGTAACTCTAAGCTTTCTCTCAAACCCATCATTGAATATATGGGTTTTGACCTTCTGATTCTTGTAGATTTTGTAGTTTGTAGGAGAGAGATAAAGAGGGATAGTTCTGAGTTGAGAACGAGAATAGAGATGGAGGCGATTGGGGAGGCTGAAATATATGGGTTTTGACCTTCTGATTCTTGTAGATTTTGTAGTTGCAGTTGCAGAGATAGAGCGAGAGAGAGGGCAAGTTCAGATCTGAATGTATTGCCCTAATCGGTTATGGGGCGGGGCGAGTGAGGATGGGGCGAGGGCGGTTATGGGGATTAGAGGGAAAAATTGAACCGGTTGTGGGGCGGTTTTGGGGGTATCAAAATTAAACGGGGGCGGGGATGGGGAATGGAAAACCCACCCCAAACCGCCCCATTTCCATCCCTAGTCCGAAATATCAAACATTAAACCCCTCTCAAACGGGGACGGAACCCAAAATGACACTAAAGTTTCAAGCTACTCCACAGAGTTACAATAACCCCCAAAAACCCAAAAAAATATTTCTTAATCATGGTGGATCTATGCTATATAACGGGGATCTTCTACTGAATCCCCATAAGACTTGACCAGAGAAGGTACTCCAGAATAATAAATATACGGCCCCAAAACGCGACCCTGAACATACCCAAATCCATCCATTCCCCACCCTTCCCCCCATGAACTTTGGATGATGAAGGATATTCCATTCCTGTTGTCTATAACATAGCCAATTAATAGAACAGCGTGTGATTTAATTTTATCGGCTGGCCTAGCAGGGGCCAGAGTAGGCTCTTTTTTATCCACCTTGTGCTCCTCCATGTCAATGTCCATGTCTTCCGCCTCGTCTTCATCAGCACAGTCCGTTCCAACAGTTGACTGCCCATTAAAGTACTCTTGTTCAAATATTTCCTGCCAACCAACCAACCAATCTTTTAATCTAATAAAAAAATAATTCAGAATATACTCATAACACATCACTTACGTCAGAAAATAGAGGATTGAACGAAATTTTTACACAGTTCGAAAATTTTGAAATACACATTATTTTAATTATAAATTTTAAAAAATAATAATTAAGAAAAAAATAAATAGTTGTAATGTTTGAATTACAGGAAGTAATTATTCGGTTCAATTTTTTCAACAGATTTTAATATTTTAGAAAATAAAACATTATTTTCCAAGCATGATAAATGAATTTTTTTAAAAAACAAACATATTGCTAACTGAAACGCCTACAATGATAGAATTGATAATGAGATGTCTATGTCTTACCATTTGATATCCGGTCATGCATAGCATTAGGATGTAGTCTTGAAGAATTCAGGAAGTTGAGCAGGCAGACTACATAAAAATCTAACCTTGAACCTTCTTCTAGCACCATTTTAACAAAGTGGCTGTTCAAATTTTACCCATTGTACGAATCAATAGCCTCTGAATTTCAAATATAACTAAAAGAATTCAGTTCAGGTTTATCCATGCTAAAATTAATCTTCAAACTCTGACAAAACCCTAAAGATTTAAAGATTAAAATCATCTATTGGAACCTACGTTCGTGACATCTACACTGAAAGCAGCTCAAAATCAAATCAAAAGATAAATGTTGCCAACCTATAATTAACCAACCATACAGACCCATAATGAACAGAAAACGAAAAAGCCCCTAAAGTTTGCAGATATGGGGTAGAAAGTTCAAGGTACAATTAACATATGCTATGTTGAATTTGAATCATTCTTTGTCCAAGCACACTCTCTCAATCCCCTATTTGAATTCCATATTTGGAATTGCAGTCAGACTTGCGAATAGATTCAACATATGTTGAATTTGAATTTGGATCCGACATGAAAAAGTCGTATGTATGTGTATGGATGTATCCGACTGTTGAACCCAAAATATCAAAAGGGTTGAAAACAATAGTTGAATATCATCACCGAAACATTGTTTTGGTCTCGTAAATATAAATCTTCAACAATTACCTCCTTCAACATCATGCCACATTTCACATATATTAAATATTCAAATATCCGCCAAAAATATTCCAATTTGCATCCATAACAAAACCAAAATAAAAAAAAAAAAAATAGAAACCAAATCACATATAGACTCATATGGCAAGAAGGTGTATAATACAGAACACAACATGATTTTATTCAATTCGACAAAGTCAACATTAGAACCCAAGAGCAGTAACACGAAACTACAGAACATTAAGAAACTATCTACTCATTAAAGAAACTATCTTCGATCACAAACCAACTAGAACCACAACAAGCCAATAAACTAAAATGCATGGATTTCAGAAATCACCATCATAGACAAGGTGAAAGGTTGACTCCTTCTATATGTTGTAATCAGCAAGAGTGCACCCATCCTCGAGCTGCTTGCCATCAAAGATCAATCTCTGCTGATCCATCGGAATACCCTCCTTGTCCTGAATCTTAGCCTTGACATTATCAGTTGTAACCGAACTTTCCACCTCCAATGTGATGGTCTTCCTAGTCAATGTCTTAACAAATATCTGCATTCCTCCCCTAAGCCTCAACACCGAATGCAGCGTAGACTCTTTCTGAATGTTGTAGTCCGCAAGGGGCCTCCCTTCCTCGAGCTGCTTACCAGCAAAGATCAATCTCTGTTGGTCCGGAGGAATGCCCTCCTTGTCTTGGATTTTGGGCTTCACGTTATCAATGGTGTCCGAGCTCTCCACTTCCCAAGTAATTGTCTTTCCTGTCAGAGTCTTTACAAAGATCTGCATCCCACCACGAAGCCTCAGAACCAAATGGAGGGTGGACTCCTTCTGTATATTGTAATAGGCCCGACCATCCTCGAGCTGCTTTCCGGCGAAAATCAAACGCTGTTGATCAGGAGGGATCCCTTCCTTGTCTTGGATCTTAGCTTTCATATTGTCAATTGTGTCGGAGCTTTCAACCTCGAGCGTGATGGTCTTGCCGGTTAGGGTTTTGAAAAAAATCTGCATACCTCCTCGAAGCCTGAGAACCAGATGGAGAGTCGACTCCTTCTGGCTATTGTAAACGGCGAGAGTTTGACCGTCTTCAAGCTGTTTGCCGGCGAAAATCAGCTGCTGCTGATCCGGAGGAATTCCTTCCTTGTCTTGGATCTTGGCTTTCACAATGGCTGTAAGTTGGGCTGCCCAACCCAGCCCAGTCTCAACCCAACCCAACCCAACCTCAACCCGAATAGGATTGGGTTGGACCAGCCCGAATTATACCCAATATGGGTTATGGTCAAGATCCAGCCCGAATATTTTCGGGCTGATCGGGTTGGGTTGACAGGTTGATTTTTTTTATTTTTACGATTTTTTTTTTCCCGAAAATTTATATATTTGATATATATATATATATATATATATATATATATATATATATTATATATTTGATTATATTATTATTAAAAAATAAAATATTTTTAGGGCAAATCATTTCAGCCTCCCCAATCGCCTCTATCATTTCAACTCTGATCATGCCCTCTCTCTCTCTCTCTACAACTGCAAACTACAAAATCTACAAGAATCAGAAGTTCAAAACGTATATATTTCTGTTTATCTATATCAAAAGATCAAAACCCATATCGGCATATCATTTCAGATTGTTCAAAAAATCAAAACCCATATCTTTCAGTTTCCATCGCCCGTTGTTCTAGTTCGGGTTTGCCGTTCACAAGCTTCAATCGCTGTCTCTCAACTCTCAAGCTTGCCCGCCTCTCTCTCTACAACTGCTTCCTTGTATGTATGGGTTTTGTTTTATTTATTTTTTTTCTAAATCAACTAATCAAGGTCTATAATTCTTGTTTTGAAAACTAAAATCAAGTGTAATCTTCATTTTGTTAGGGTTTTGAAATCGCCATGTCAATAATACCACAAGAGCTCTACCCAAGTCAAAACGACCTCTTTTACAAAGAAAAGCTCCTCCGAAATCCCTTCAACTTGAAGCTATGGTGGTGCTACCTAATTGCTCGAATTGACGCAAATTTCAAGAAACATCACAGGATCTATGAGAAGGCCCTCAAAGCGCTCCCTGGAATCTACAAGCTCTGGTATGCTTATCTCCTCGAATGGCAGCAGAGGGGGACGGCGGTGACAGAGACAGAAAGAGAAAGAAGAGAGAGGAGAGAGAAAGGAGAAAAAAACTTATTATTATTTTTTTGGGTTCGGGTTGAGCCCGAGCCCAACCCGAATATGTCTGGATTTTGACAAAACCCAACCCAAACATGAGCCCGATTTGTGAATTTAAAGCCCAAATTTCAAATTTCCTCCTCTAATTTGCCATACGATCCCAACGTTCACCATAGCCCTCCTTTGGTGTGCCATCTCTGTTTCTCTTCACAGCTGATTAAAACCTCAGAAGTTGAGAATTTCTAGTTTAACAGTTGAAGCTAGCCAGTGCTCTCTATTGTGAATGTGCTAGTTTGAATCAAAATGCCCTTTTTTTTTTTTAAGCCATAGCTGCGTTCCTACTTTAATAATTTTGTCTATTTTTCACCTCCTTTTTTTCAAGTACACATGGGAAACCATTAGACTAATGAAAGTTACTATTGACAATAATGAACTCCACCCATCAAATGAAACATTGTAAAAAGCTCACCCAAGGGGATTTTGATTCAAGAATGAGACACCAATTAATTCAAAAGTGTGACATCTATTCTTTTAGATAAAGAGTTGCATTCTCAAAGTGGTAGCGAATTGCATTCTCAAAGTAACGAAGGCCAAAAAAAGAAAAAAATAATTCAGTAGTGTCAATTCTCAGCAAAAGACAACACAAAGAATGCATAACGATTCTTCTCACAAGTCTTGATCAGACAACTTATAATACAACATGTGTGCACAATCAGTATGTACGTGCATTATAAGTCTGTTGGTGTATCAGCTTTGCAATACACTACATTTCTTAATTTATATAGTTTTCACCACCTAATGCACTGCATTTCACTCATTATATTATCTCATACAAAGCACGCAATACACACTAGTCCTCAATAGATAATCTACTGATATAGACAATCCCCTTAGCACACCATATTCTGCAATAACACTCATGCATGGGGTAAATGATGAAGTGGACCCCACTATGTTATAACAGTATTTGAATTATCCTCTATTTATATCATTCTTCTGGGTTCTTCTGCGTGGGCTTTATGGGCCGTATTAAAATTGGGTTAATCTCACTTAACCTACTTTACTAATACAATTTTGATGTTTGTGATAAGGATCATAATTTTTTTTTTCCTGGCTGATTGGAAGTTTGCCTTCTAATTAAACTAGTAGAATGTGGCCCATATCCCATTGGCTTGTCTTTTTTATGTGGGTTTGAACCTTGACACGGCGGTGCTCTGATCGATTGAGCTAACTTGACCCTATATATGTCTATACTATTATTAAATGTGCAAAGAGTTTCAGTGTTTCAGTATTTATTTATTTTAATATTAAGTGTGTAAAGAGTTTCAGTCTTTCAGTATTTTATTTATTAATATAAAAAAATATTCATTAATTGATATAAAAAAAGTTTAATTGGTTTAATTGTCCTAAAGAAATATTAATCATAGTATTTCAGTAGTTATTTATTAATATAAAAAAAATATGTATTAATTGAGATCAAAAGAGTTTAATTGTCCCACATCGGTTTTGAGTTATAAAGAATTACATGGAAGCCTCTTATAAAAATATAGACCTAAAGAGTTTAATTGGTTTAATTGTCCTAAAGAAATATTAATCATAGTATTTCAGTATTTATTTATTAATATAAAAAAATATTTATTAATTGATATAAAAAGAGTTTAATTGTCCCACATCAGTTTTGAGTTATAAAGAATTACATAGAAACCTCTTATAAAAATATTGACCTAAAGAGTTTGTGACGACCCAAGTTTTGCAACCCGGTGCGTCAGTGATGAACCAAAAGTTGACCCGATAACGGATCCGAAATGCGGAAGTGAAAGATAAAACCAAAGTCTACATAGATATAAAGTAAAACCAAAGTCTATAGCGATATAAATCATCCTCAAGACACTAATGTGACCTTCCATGAAGTCACGAAACTCAAAGAAAAGCGAATGAGCAAACGAGAGTCAAAACGGGCAAAATCCATCAATTAGGGGCAAAATAGTCAATTTGCAAATAAGAAGGGAAATTTGACTCCAAGCAAGTCAAATGAGGTCCACACAATCTAAACTAATCATTTCACTACATTCCAAGATGTTCATAAAACTTTGGCCAAGAATCCCACAAGACTCCCATTCCCGGTTCAAACAAAATCTGACACTGTCTCACTAAAATATGAATAAATCCTACTCTAATTTGAATATTAGAATGGAATTAGTACCATTAGAAAGCTGACTCAAAATCCTTGAATTTAGGCTCAAGAATCACCCCATTTGGATTAGAAATGAAGAAATTATGACCGTTTGAAGTCAGAGCAACAGTATTGTTCTAAAACTGAAGAATGAAGAATTAAACTATTTAGGTCGACTGAAATGAGCCACCGGTGGATTGAAATGAACCCAAAATGGCCCAAAATCCTAAAAATGAAGGAAAATCATTTAGGTAGGCCGAAATAAAGAATCGGTCGACCGAAATGGACCCAAACAGTGTTTTTAGCTACTGGAAAGTGAGTTTTTCTGTGCAATTTAAACCAAAAAGCCATCGATCGACCTAAACAACATTTCAGTAGACCGAAATGACCCGATAAAGTGCAAAAAGTCCTGTCATACACAAGAAATGTTATGGCTTCACCCAAGCCTTAAACCACCACATGAATTTGGTCCAAAAACAATATTTTAGACTTGTGCATGTGTGTGAGCATGCTCACAAGTGTAAAATGTATATAGAAATGTGATACAATGGCTCAAAGCCTCAATACATATTGAATTTACAAAACCATACGCCAAACCTCCAACGTTAGAAAAATTACATTTCGAAGGCAAAACTCAGAATTTAAATGCATACACTTGAACTTTTAAAGTTGGTGGTCTTTGGCCACAAATCATACATATTAAATAGGTTTCAAATGGTGTATCTAAGAACACATTACATATCATAAGGCAAAAACAACATATTGAACCTAACTAAGTACTACAACTTTAAAGGCAAAAAACTCAACATGCTAACACTTGCATGTGAACAAGAATACATTTACAGAACTTCAATTCATCGAAACGACTTAGGGATATTGTGCATCCCAAACTAAGGTATCCGTACCTGAAAACAGCCCGATAACTTTAAGGTGAGTAAACAAGTTACTCGTAGGAAATGAGCATGCATTGACCTAACATTTTACAAGGTTATCACATTAACATGAAACAATTCAAAAGGATCATGCCACCTAGCGTCTATGTCAAAGATAAGACTCAAGGATCATCTCAAGCTACTCATGCAATTGAAATGAACTATGGCATACAAGTATACATGCTCAAGTATACTAAACAAGGTTAAAACATGATATACGACATACAAGCATACATTTCCAAGTATACTAAGTCATGTTAAACGAGATAAGCAATATCTAGCATACATGCACAAGTATACGATATATATAGAGTACTCATAAATCAAGTATACAAACACAAATATACTAAGCTAAACGAAATGCGCATAAGACAAGTATACACGGCACAAGTATACTAAACTGAAATCCGATTACACTAATCAAACATACAAAGCGTAAGCACACTAGTTAGAGTTTGGATACACCAACAAGAATATAAGTATGCTAAATGTAATCTAAATATATGAAGCAAGTATACAGTTTCAAGTATACTAAGATAATATTTAAATAAACAAAACAAGTATACAAGTTCAAGTATACTAAATGGAATTTAATCACATAAGCAAGCACCAATTCTTAAGCTACAAGGAATTCATGATTAACAACTTGAAATTGAATGCTAAATCAAAACGTGGAAAGACTAAGACATGTGGTCTCTAGACCAAGCAAGTGTTTCCGGGTAATTACGACCCATAAGGCACTACCTAGTGCGCACATGTATAAATTATTCCGGGTAATTACGACCCACAAGGTACTACCGAGTGCGCACTTATGACTTAGAAAACTCTTGTCTCCATACTAGAGCCAAACCCTAGCCATCACATGAAATATGTCCTTACAAGTTTTC